GGGGGCGGCGGGAGGGCCAGTCCGGTGCGTTACATGAGGCTGCATTTCCCCTTGATTTTGTCTGTCCTCTTCTGCTTGCTGGACCGCTTGCCGTCGATGTTGAGGCTCATGTTCCTGCGCTTCTCCAGGTTGAGCAGCTCTTGGAAGAGCTCCTTGACGTTGTAGTTCATCTTGGCCGAGGTCTCCATGAAGGCGCATTTCCACTCCTTGGCCACGGCCTCCCCTTCCTTGGCCTCCACCTCCCGCTGGGTCTCGTCACACTTGTTGCCCACCAGCATGATGACCGCTTGCCGTCGATGTTGAGGCTCATGTTCCTGCGCTTCTCCAGGTTGAGCAGCTCTTGGAAGAGCTCCTTGACGTTGTAGTTCATCTTGGCCGAGGTCTCCATGAAGGCGCATTTCCACTCCTTGGCCACGGCCTCCCCTTCCTTGGCCTCCACCTCCCGCTGGGTCTCGTCACACTTGTTGCCCACCAGCATGATGGGGATGGTCTCCACGCTGCCCTTGATCTGCAGGATCTGCTGGTAGATGGGCTTCAGCTCCTCCAGGGACTGCCGGCTGGTGATGGAGAAGACCAGGATGAAGGCGTGGCCCTTGGAGATGGCTCCTTGGCCACGGCCTCCCCTTCCTTGGCCTCCACCTCCCGCTGGGTCTCGTCACACTTGTTGCCCACCAGCATGATGGGGATGGTCTCCACGCTGCCCTTGATCTGCAGGATCTGCTGGTAGATGGGCTTCAGCTCCTCCAGGGACTGCCGGCTGGTGATGGAGAAGACCAGGATGAAGGCGTGGCCCTTGGAGATGGAGAGGCGCTGCATGGCCGGGAACTGGTGGCTGCCCGTGGTGTCCGTGATCTGCAGGGTGCAGACGCTCTTGTCACAGCTGATGACCTGCCGGTAGGTGTCCTCGATGGTGGGGATGTAGGTGTCCCGGAAGGTCCCCTTCACGAAGCGCAGCACCAGGGAGCTCTTGCCCACGCCGCCGGCGCCGAACACCACCACGCGGTAGTCGTTGCTCTGCTCCGGCATCTTGGCCCGGGGACGCGGACGTACCTGCAAGGGGCGGGACAAAGGGAGAGAGGCAGAGTCACAGGGGAGGGCCGGCAGGGGGCGGGACGGGCCGGCTCGCCGGGGGCGCCCGGGGAGGGGGAGACACAGGCGGGCG